ATGAGTTTTACATTTTCTATTTTCTTTTCTTTTTTTATTTGACCTGAAACTAACTATTAATTAATATTGTATTTTAATATATCAATAATATATTATTATGATTATAAGTAGTAGTAGTAGTAGTAGTAGTATTTATATATGGTAATACAGGGAAATAAAGCATGTAAACCCCATTTATCCATTGTTAAGTTTTCCAGATGGAAAAACTAGTAGTAATAATAACTAATTGACAATAAAAAAACAATAATAAAAATAATATATACATATTTTCCCATTATTGCTTAGTAGTAGTATTATTTAGCATGACTTTCTTTTGATATTTAGTTTAGTTTTTATTATTATTATTATCAAAAATCCCATTGACAACAAATTAAAATACCACAATTGTCTCTTTGTACCGAGAAAAACATACACACATAAGTCATGAAACAGCAGCACTGTTGCCATGAACTCCTGCTGGAACTAGCAGCCTAGTGGTTCCATGTGAAAGCTCTCTACTGTTATATAGGCCTTTTCCCCATCGAACTCATCCAGCCTACAAATGCAACTGCTGAGACGGCGGCTGAAAAAGAGCTTCCTTGGCAGAGCAGAGTGTGTGATCCCTAACCAGTCGATCTCTGCATCAGATTAACCAACACGTTGTCAAGCGTTCTTCCAGGCCTACAGCATTATGGGTGAATGGATCAGGTTAGTTGACATGCGTCAGCTAAAGCTACTGGATGAGATAAGTAGCAAAGAAAGAGGTGGAATGTGCAGGAGAATAAATGGTTGAAATATGGGTTGGATTTTCCAGCACTGTTTTCAGCATAACAGCTCATCTCTCTTGTTTTGATCCACAGAGATTTTTCTGTTGTTTTTGTAGAAAGGTCTGTTAAAATCATAGAACGCAGGGATGGTTCACTGAGATGAGAGTCATCTCTCATAGAAACTATTGTTTATATGTGTCTTGTACTTAAGAGGGAAGTCGTTTAAATAGATTTCTGGGAAAGAATACGTAACAACCATAAAGAAACATGTTTGTTGCCTGGATTTAGACCATATCTGGCATTTACATGCAAGGCTGGTTTTGGGAAAACCAGTTCTAAGCTGCAAGCTGCCCACAGTATTGACTTGTCACATAAATACAGACCCAGTCAACATATGGTGTGTTTTCTGTTATATGCAGACGACAGATGCCTATGACGGCAGATATCAAAATGGCATCTGCAACTAACAATGTTATCCAGTGGTAGTTAGCAGAGGTGTGGACTCGAGTCGCATGACTTAGACTCAAGTCAGACTCAAGTCATCAATTTGATGACTTTAGACTCAACTTGACACAAGTAAAGAGATGACTTGCAACTTCACTTGGACTTGAACCCTTTGACTCAACAAGACTTGATACTTTCTCCAAAACCCAAAGATTATAAAGTAAGCTATTAAGGAGCGCTTTGTATCTCTCATTGTGTACATGTGTGTCTGTGTGTGTATGTGCTGTCGGCACAACATCCAATCAAATTAGACCCACGTTGTTTTGACGCAATAGCATCGAGCCAATCAAACTGCGGGACAACCAATGAGGAAGGGCTGTCAAACAATGCACGGGTGAGAGAAAATGATACCAAAGATCGTTATGTTCAGATTAAAAACTACGAGGTGGTCAACAAAAAACGAGTGGCAGTGATCTGTGTAAATATATTATTATTTTTTTGAATGGAAACAGAAACGGCAGGACTTGGGACTTGACTTGATACTTTTCAGTCTTGACTTGGATTCGACTCGCCTATCTTGACTCGGACTTTGCCTATCTTGACTCGGACTTGAGTGCAAAGACTTAAGACTTACTTGGTCCCACCTCTGTTAGTTAGTGACTGGAAGTGACCAATGAAAACAAAACATCTAAATTCAATTGGGCTATTCCACTTCACATTTCCCTGTGACTGGTAGTAGCTGCTCCAATCGCAACTGATGTGATTGTGTTAGGTTACGCTGATGTTTCAGATGTTTCACATCTGATGTGAAAGTTTTCTATATTTTTATTAATTCTTATAGCAAACAAATGAAAGTCAGACCAGGCAATGACACTAACAGTGATAAAGTTATTTATTAATGACTTTACAGTCAAGCTGAATGATAAATCAACCTAATCTGAGACTCGGAACAGAATATATTTGATTGTGAAGTACTTCAAAACTACATTTTTTTAACATAACAGTAGATGCTTAATTCTGCTAATTGTTATTGATGAGACAAAAATAAAGACACAATAGTCAACAATGTCTTCAGGAATTATGTCAAAATGGATTCCGTATCAGACAGAAACAACCAAAAAAAAAAAAAAAATCCCTTTCTTATTATTTTTACACGTAACTACTAACAATGCAGACTGCTGCCTCAGGTGCCGATCTATAACTTTCACAATTCCAACTGTGGAAAAACAGTCCGCTCACAAAACCAGACAAACAGTCAATAGTCTAAATAACTGTTCATGTTAATATTCAGAACGCCAGCTGATTTATCATCTCCTCATTACCGGGCTCTAGGCTTCATGTAGTTAATCCTCAGAGGAGCAAGCTGGGACTCAAACCCAGAACCTCCTCACTGAGAGGCATGAGCATCAATCACATCTCTGACATTAATCTCTGACATCGGTCTTAAATATAAGGCAATAGACTTGACATTTATTTAAAAAAAAAATATATATATTTTATTTATTTATTTACAGTACATTAAAGATAAAATATCTTTGTAGTGTCAGGATGACATATGTAGTAAAAAAAATGAAACTGATTTTGCCTGTCCTGCAGTAATAATAAATACTGCTGGGGAAAGTTTTTTTTTTTTTAATGTTCAAGTAAATAAATATTTTCTGCAAATGCTAGGAGTTTTTAAAACATCCGCAAATGTTGAGTCATGCTTTTAGAATGCAAAAGTGGATTTGTCAAAGAGACTGCTGAGGCTCCGTCAGAAGACTTAGCAGCACTTTCAGGTGGAAATGAGAGATAATATTAGGGGGGGGGGGATAGCTTTTTTCGCATTTCTTTGCATTGAGCTTCTGTTACATCATGACGGCGTTTGTGGTCAGTCAGGAGTTTTATTTTTTTAACTGAACTCTTAAGATCTGTGAGGCTGTTGCAGGTCACGTTTCTCTCTGGTTAACTTTTATTTTTATTTATTTTACATAGAATTAGCTCACTGAGATTGAAGACAAAGGTAAAAAAAAAAGATGGGTACCAGCAACAGTTCCATTGATAGGAAGTCTCAAAAGGAAGTTTCAAAAATGTATGCCATAAATAAAATAATGTAGAAATAAAATAATATCTAGATTAACTTGAGTTTCTGTTACCTCAACACTGGCGTTGTAGCAGGTGAGGAACTTTTTTTCCTCAATTTTAAGAACTAGTAGATGCAGGTCACGTTTTGCTGGTTGTCTTTTTTTTTTTTTACTTTTAAAGATAATTTCACTCAGAAAAACTCTTTGGGATTAAAAATCCGGTTCACAAGATTGTTCTGGTCAGGATGGGCACCAGTAAGAATCCATCGTTCCATTCCACGAATGTACGCAACAAATAAACTGCTCTAATTGAAAATACACATCTGGATATTGCCACATGTGACTGCACATTTCTTAAAACCAATTAAAAAAAAAAAAAAAAAAAAAAAAAAAAATCAGATTGTGGCATGTGGCAATTTTAATCAGTTGCACCTTTTTTTGTCTACTAACTATTAATTTATGACACAGGTTAAATATTTCCAAAGAGCTGTGGATGTGGGTTAGTGTGGGGAGAATTCATCTGCTGCAGTTACTGGGTGTTATTCCCTTGGGAGAGTGTTGTACAAGGCTTTTTCTTTTTTCTTGCTCAGTGTGTCGAGTACACTATTGTTCTGTTGTCTGTGAACCTGTAAGTGTGTAACCTTTCTGTTACTGTGTCCATCCTTCAGGGGGATCTTGACATTGTTCAGATAAATTACCCTCAGATGAGCAGCAACGTCACACATGAGAAGAAAGGAATAAAAAAAAGACAAAAAAATAAACACAACGAGTGTGTAACGTGGACGAGCTGAATCATAGAGCAGAGATGCGAGATAAGATGGAAAGAAACCGGGACGCTCTGATCTGCAGCCTGCCATTAATAAAGAAAAAAAAAATCCTTTGTTAAATAAATTCATAGCTGTGATGTATGACCAGTGTTTCGTTGTGCCTTTAAACATTCAGTGCAGGAGAGACAGAGATATCTCTGCAGTAGGAGGAGCACCAAAGCACAAGAAGCAAGCGATGTGAAGAAGGAGCTGGCAGCTGCCTGCCATGCTGTTGAAGCCCGGGGTAAAGGAAGGCGGTCTCCGGGGGGCCTTAAATGTGTAATCAAGCCAACTGAGCCAGATGAGTCCGCCTCCTCTTGCTCTCTCCATCTCACAGTAAAACGACCTGTTAATGAGTACACAGCAGAGCTGTATGCTGGAGAGAGATGGGCTGGAGCGAGCACAGGCATGTACAGATCTCTGATAATACTGTGAGCCACTGGCTGGGGGCACAGAGGACAGGGGGGTCCCCGATTAGTTTTCCCAAGGGTGAAATTATGTCAACATTACCAAGCCAGGAGCCAAAGTGTGCAGGAATAAATGTGCACACACCTGCACCTAATAGAACAATAAAAATGAAACCTGACACAAGGCTTTTCTGCTTTAGCAGAGTTTCATTAAACTTGCAGGAAGGCATCTGTTATGTCTTCACGGACCTCGTGTGTTCACGTGTTTTATTTAAATCCATAAACATAAAATACAGCTCATCAAAGACCTGACAACTTTGAAGTCTTTCATAAATCTGTCAGTGTTATTATTCCGAGTGGGATCAGTGTTCCTTTCCTCAACTGATCATTTTTGTCAAAAAAATTAGTGGATGGCAATACTTTTCCGAAATGAAAAATACATGGAAACTAAACAGGAAGTTAAGCCTGGCTAAGTGACGATGTAAATCAACAACAAAACAAACAGCTGAGAAAATCTGGGACCGACCACTGACCAATGTAAACTGAAGCAACAAATAAAGATGAGAGCCTATATATATATATATATATATATATATAAATATATATACACACACACACACACACACACACACATATATATATATATATATATATATATATGCATATATATACACACACACACACACACACACACATATATATATATATATATATATATACATATATATATATATATATACATATATATACACACACACACACACACACACACACATATATATATATATATATATATATATACACATATATACACACACACACACACACACACACATATATATATATATATATATATATACATATATATATATACAGAGAGAGAGTTGCTGATTAGAGTTTCCCACTGCCTTCTGTCCTCATCTAATAATGTGTTGACCCCTACACAGGTCACTTCACTCTGGTCTGGTCTAGTCTGACCAAGAGCAGATGGCTGGGAATGAAGATGTGTAGCATTGAACCTGGGGTCATCTCTGGGGTCATATCAGAGCATTTACTTTAAAAGAATCACTCTGGAATTTGTTTTTTTCTTACATGTGAGTTTTGCAAATCTGACCATGTTCTAAATTGTTTTGTGTTTATACTATATGAATAAAAACACTTTTAGTATCACTGCCCACTAATGCACAACATGGGTGAAAAAAGCTCCATGTTTATTTCTTATAGTAGTTGATTTTGGACTGGGTGTTTCTATGCTATATCTTTGAAATTATTATATATAATCATTCAAATAATCAAAATACTATACATTTTTGGCAAGTGTAAATTATCTTTTTTTACTGTGTATACCAAATAATTAGTTCAAAGATGGCTTAGAAACAAGTGTATCACATCAGAAAGGGAATTAACTTGATCTAGCTAGCTGGGGACATATTATCTTGTAGCTAGCTAAACTAAGCTGGCTTGGATAAAAAAAGAAAACTACTGTGATAATTTTAAGGCTGATTCTGTGCTTTCTAAATGATAGCATTCACCAATAAAAAAAACCAATTAATTATAATAATAATATTAAATGTTAGAATATATAGATTTTAAAAGACAAATAAAATAAACAACATTCCACACAAAATCACATAAAAAGTAAAAGTGTGCTTCAAAGGGTTAAATTAGAGCTAATTTGGTAATTCTGAAGCGTACCTGACAGTGGATTGATACACAAGATCTTCCCTTCTGCGGTAATCCTCCATGTGAGAGTAATTAGTATTAAACATGGCATCGTAAGTGAAGATTTTCTGCTTGATGGTCCCTCCGTCTGTGACCTGTGAAGAGACAGAGAGAGAGAGGGAGAGAGGGGAAGAGAATCAGTGAATGAACAATCTCTCCAGTGATAGATGAGGTGGAGTCTACCTGTCATCTACTGGGCTTCATCTTCACATACAGTGAATTGCAGTCCCCTGGGCTGAAGTACATGTAATAATCCTGCATGTAATAGACTCATAATGAGCTCATTTCTTATCAAGCCAAAAACCAAAGTGACTTTAATGTGATAACATCAATATGTTTGTTTCTCAGGAGGGCCTGCCTGAGCGTGTGCATGCACGAGTGGGTCCTGATATTCACACGTGATGTCAGTGTTCTGTGCGTGTCAGGCACACAGACGAAGCTGCTCAGTCAGTAGATGTTTAGCTGATATCCATATGGTCTGAATCTAGAGTTCCTTCTTTTCTTTATTTAATATAAGGAATGGAATGAGGGAGAAAGTTTTGTTTTTTTTCATAGCTGTAAAAGGGCAAAGTGTGGTTTTAAACTATAAAGTCTATGGAGGTTGATTGTGAATTCTTCACAGTAATGACACAGTTTGCTGAGCTTGTCGTAACACTCCATTCACAGCTGCCGCTCATGTACAGCTGCACGTGGCAAATAAAAATCTTGACATGATGTGATTTTCACAGAGCTGTTAATGTTGCTTAGGCAAATAAAATTGGAGACCAGGGGCCTGTGCTGTGAAGGAGGCTCAACATACCCAGGCTTTGTGTTCATGGTCTGACCTCAAGCCCCCAAAGAAAGTTAAACGGTTCAGTGGTTCATCAAGCTGCTTTGTCAAATCTGGTTATTATTCAAATAGATCATTAACTTTACATAATATCTGTGACAAATAAGTACTTGGTTGGCCTAATGAATCAATTTCTCGTAGAGAATTTTATCAGCAAATGCCAGTGTGATCTCAAGGAAGTCACTCCTGTAATGTTCAACAGACTGTTGGGTTTTTTAGTTTATAAACTTTAATGTCAGTTGAGTCAAGAACACATTCAAAATCACCGCTGCTTCAGTCAAACTGTGCATGCCTACGCACACAGTCATGCTAAGCTTGAATTCGTAATCACTACGCAACTTTACCTAGCCCCGCTTTTATAGCTGAACATACCCTGGTTGAAAACAGGTTAGGACACAAGCAGCTAAGTTTCCATGATGATCTAGCCAGGTTAAAAGAGAGCCACCTTTGTAGTACAGGAAAGCCCCGCTTTAAACTCAACATACCTCGCTAAGCCACTAAACAGGCTTCACAATACGTCCTGCTGGACTCACCATCACTTACTTCAGTCAGTCAAAATGCTACAGTTCAGATTCAGTTACGTTTAGACTTAAGTCTAGTTCTAGAGACATTAAAGGGAGAGCCATTAAGCATTAAAATGTAAAATGTATGAATGTATATATAATATATAAATATAGGTTTGCTGAGAGATAAAGCTAAAATGATAGAAGTAAAATGTGATTCTCTTTAAATTTGAAGGGAGATGGTATTCATTTTGTGCTTAGAAAAACAGCACTGTTTCATGTTTTTGTTTACAAAGTGCAGCAGCACAGGGAGATGACAGCATTCAAAAGACTAATGACAAGGCTGAGAATATAAATTAGCATTACCACATGTTAAAAAAAAGTGGGTGGCTTTCGATTTGTTTCTACAGATGTAACATTTTCTTCATCAGGCTTCAGACATTTGTGACAGCACAAGGGTGAGAAATTATTCTGGTACTCATGTCAAGAATGAGTACTGTAGACGTATTTTTGAATCAGTGCAAGACTGGAGACAGCCAACGATGATATGTTTTTCTTTGAGTTGCCGAACCAGAAGACAATGGAGGAAAAGGTCGGCCTCCTAAAATGCCACGTTTGAAAATTGTGTTTTCCAACCACAGAGATATTTGCAGCCATTTGCAGTTTGTAGTAATGGACCAAAAACACATCACTATAGTGTCTTAAAAAAGGCCATTCTGTCCGACACTGCTGAATATCTTTGATCTGTGAACAGGGTTCTACTCAGTTGTATAAATAATGGCTCCTAAAACTTTCCATAATAATGCCCTGTATGCAGCACATATTTGAATATATGGAACAAAGTGACTATGACAGAACACAATGAGACTATACTGAGATAAATTGCATGCACACTTCAAGTTAACACTACAGAGGGCCAGGAGAACTGTATACATTCAGACTGAGAGTTCACTGAACATGTGACTACCTGTAGGTGCTGGAAGAAAAAGGTTCAACTAAAGTCCAACCAACAGGTAAGAGTGGAAATATCCCACAAAACAAAAACAGACTGAGAGACAGGGATAGAAATTCCATCAAAATGTGGAGGATAATCTGGATGGATGGATGGATGATGGATGGATGGATGGATGGATGGATGGATGGGTTTTTGTGGACCAAGATGAGAGCATATTCAAAAACAATAAGTTATATTAATTTCAAATTAAAAACTAAAATTAATCAACAGCACAAAAATGATATCATTAAAAACACTAAGACAACTTGTTGGAACCTTTTTTATTCCAAACTCTTTCCTCTGTGCTTGTAAAGGAATCATTACAAACCTAATTCACGGCTGTAATTGTGCTATTTTTGATCTCCAAAACTAATAAACACAGTAAAATCACCATTTAAGCTGCACCTGCGAAAATGTAACATAGTTGAGTGGGATGTCTTTTTAAAGCATGCTAAGAAAAGGGGAAAAAATGGATAATCATCTATACACAGCACAGACTTCTGGCACAATTTAAACTGCAGCTTAAACTTAGCTGATTTAAAGGACTGTGATGTACAACCTGTGGAAGCAGAACGATTTTTCATATAGAGGATAGGTACTACATAAAGCCAAAAAATGCTGTGCTGCAGCAAATTTGTTTCTGGTAATTGTGAACAATCAATGGAAGAAAAACAATCTGCAGAGATTAGGGGTTTTAGGCTTTTGGAAATATCTGTGATTAAGAGAAAATGAACTGTGGCTGGTCAACGGTGGATGAGAAGATATGATTCTGTAACTTAATAAAGCAAACTAAAGTTGTTCTGATTTCCACTGTTGAAAAGTATTAAGTTGTACATACACTATGCATGGACCACCAGGGGAACCCTAATTAATTTTAATGTTCTGTCATATCTGTTTTAATTTGCATGCTGCATCACAAAGCTAACCTCCAGCTCCTGGACAGATGGGCCAGATCCAGCATCAACAGCAACCTCTCAGTGACCCAGTCTGTGGTCCTGCCAAAAACCCAAAGTCAGTCTGAGAGAAAAAAAAAGTTCAGGAAAT